TAAATGCTACCAATAGCAATAAATTAATTATCATATACATTAAATATTTAATATGCACATCCTATAAATAAATATTAAGCATATTAAATAATAACGACATTACGCATATGAAAATTTATTATGTATTTATAAGTTTATCACGTAAAAATATTTACTTGGTTTCAAAGTTTTGTTACAGGTTGTCACATAATGAAAAAAAAAATAAATTTAGATTGATAATTTCTTTACAAAATCAAATCCAGTAAGTTTAGTATAATATACAAAATATCAATATTCATATAGATATTATTATTATTATTATTATTATTATTATTATTATTATTACTATTATTATTATTGTTATCATTATTATATATGTAAAATATTTCTTATATTATCTCTACCAATAATATTGGGAATGAAATTAAAGAAGATACTCCTTTGATTTTCCTACAATTATCGTAACAAATCTCTATGGTCAATATTATCACTATGTTTTTAGGAATTAAAGTTTACATAATATCTTTCTCAAATCACAAATTTTTTAAAATTTAATTCTAATTTTCATTTAGCCGCCATTTCCAAGAAAATAAAAAATAAAAATACTACGAATAGTAACTTTAAAAATTTTAAGTGGGAATTTCAATACTATGTCAAGTAAATCCCTCTCTCTATTATATAGTAATAGATTTACGAATAGCAAATCAATATATTTACACAAAATTCATAAATATAAATAATTTATGCAGGATTGGAGTTTACCAATATTCAGTATAACATTCCTTATTCTCAGAACAATTAACATTCCTTATTCTCGCAACAATTTTTTGTTTGATTTATAATCTTAATTTGAATGAAATAAAAATCCGTAATTGTTGCGATATCTCAATTCAAAATCTCAATTTTTTTGGCATAAGAATCTCCAAATTTGTTACCAATAAAAATAGATTCTATGAGATTAATATTTATGAAATGAATTAAATTTTGGTATAAGAATCTTCAAATTTGTTACCATAAGAATCTCCAATTTTTTTGGGATATCTCAATTAAATTTGATGCCCAAAGATTTACATATGTTTTTTCAAAAATTTCCACTAATAGTAAGTCAAACCATTTATTTTTTTAGTCAAACTTACTATAAAAATATTTTTTCAACTTCTTTATTTTACTAGAAATTAATAATATTATTATGTATCGTTTAACATAGTTTGACATTTATTATTGACTAGTACAGTACCCGTTCGATGCACAGGGTTTTATCATTTTCGTCTCTATTAGAAAGCAATTTTCAGTTAAAATCTATATATTATTGAATACTTCCTTATATACAACATTCATGGTTTGATTCTTTGGCACGTCGTGGTCTCCACAAATTAGGATTTTCAAACCATTTATATTAGTGACACGGGAGACAGCAACATACAACTGGTCATGACTAAACACTGGGTTTTTAATAAATAAGCTCACATGCGATAATGATTGTCCCTGACTCTTATTTATAGTCATGGCATAAGAAACCATAATGGAAAATTGCCGACGCTGGAATGTATTAGATTANATTAGCAAAAAAAAAAAAAAAAGTAAATTTAATTATTGAGTGTGATTACATAAAAATAATGAATTACCTCTGCACTCCTTTGCACGACACATTTGCAAGATGAGGACAAAAGGTGATTTTTCATTTTGGTAACAATGCTCCAAAGCAATCAACTGGTCAACATATTGACCCCAAAGCGTGCAGTTCTTGATGTTTCCCCTACAAAATGTCGAAAATTTTCTTAATGGACATCTTATGAGTTACAACACAAAATTATATTTTAAACAATGATCACACAATTATTTTTTAAAAAATTACATGCGTTAGAAACTAAAATAAAAAAATGTTAGGAAAAAAAATTTGTATAAAACAATAGAATACAAATATGAATATATAATGCTAAAGATTCTTACTTCAAGTCCATAATGGAGAAGACAATCGTTTGGATAGGAACTCCCTTGACAACCTTCATTTGATTAGGTTGTATTGAAACAACCAATCCAATAACATCTACAAAAACATAAAAAAATTCATCATATTCAAATGTATAATAGACTTTCTTTTTGGTTTGACTAATTAAACAAAATTTCGAAATACGAAAATAACAAAAAATTATAAACATACCAAACAATATGGCTTCATCAGTATTACCAATATTCGTTAAAGTTATGAAGTTCCTAAAGTCAAAACGATACATAGGAAATTCACCCTTCAACTTGTGAATCTTGGTTTGGCCATTTATAATGATCCTCCAAAGACATATCGTCGATTTATAAATGCTAATGTTGCTTTCCACTTGGTAGTTTGTCAAGATATAAGCGCCACCTTCTTCAACTATCGCCGATGAATTTTTGGATATTGACAGGTCGGATTATGCCAGTAATTCGTCCTCCCTAAGATAGTACGTATTCAATAAGTAAATAAAAAAATCATAAACGATGTAGCATAAATCAATGCAGAAAAATAATTAAAAAACAACAAATTACCTCAGAATCGTGAAAGATAATCTCAAGAACATTTCGATAATCGCGCTATCATTAACTCGTTGGAACATCCTAATTCTGCGTAGTATGATAGGTGGCTTATGAGTTCTTTTGATATCCTTGATTAATCCAACATCCAAGTCATTTTGAATGGTGATGGAAAAGCTATTGAAAAAGTTTGTTTTGTAGGATGCATTGTTTGTTGTCGATTTTTTTTCAACGTTGGTGATGTTTATATAGATATTGTGTATGTGCCATATTATTTTGTTTATCCGGTGTTGTTTAGAAATAATAATAAAAAAAAAAAGAAAACGTTTTACATGTGTTAGGAACGGACGATTAATTTGAAGGATATGTTGCCATATCAACGTGACATCAATTTTACCAAAATTAAGGGAGTTTGTTACCATCAAATAATGTAAGACTTTTATATTGATTTGAAAAATCTTTTTAAATATGTTACGAATAAACAACCCAAGAAATCGGATTATATTGTGCAGAATCTTATCAAAATTTGTAAAAAAAAAAATGCTCAAAAATATCAGACCTGATATGGGATATTATATACCTAAAGGAGTAAACCGGTCCGCTAGACCGGTCGAACAGATCTAACACCGAGAAGGTGGCGCTGGTCAAATAGTATCGTGCAGAACGGTGGTGGTCGAACACTGCTAGAAGAGGATAAGGAGAATTTCAGCACGAGGGGTATATGTTGGTCTCAGGTCCATGGAGGATCTGGTCGAAGATCGACTTGTCGAACAAAGGATCATTTGATCGATCACTTCATAGACTGAGGGCAGTCTGGGGATCGACCTAGGCATGGTTGAACGTAAGAGCCTTCACTAGGATCTCAGAGGAATATTCAGGGGAATATTTACCCCATGTGCAGAGGACACGTGGCATGAATGTACTGGTTTATGATGATAACTGTTTCTGACACACGCACATTGTGTGTGTACGGACGGGCAGGCCTGGGCAGCTTAGGGCAGACAGCTCGTCAAATCTAGGCAGATTCTAGGTCAGGTATCTTACCCCTATATATAGGGGTGTGCTTTTCTTGTTGAGCACAATTTATCCATTTTTACTCTTGAGAATTGAGTAGAACAAATACTGACTTAAGCATCGGAGGCTCTTCACCGGAAAACCCCTCCGGTGTGAGAGTTCTTTTCACGTACGTAGCGTTCTACCGGCGAGAAGGAAGAAGGCGAACCAATTTCCAGCCGGTCGGAGTGTTTGATGTTACCAAGACCATATGCCAAATTTTCGAACGGATATTGTGTGTAAATAAATATGAAATTTGTTATCAAATTTCGATTGGCTAAAAGATTTGTTTACAAAATCCGATCATATTTGTTAACACAATCCGATCATATCCGAACCTCTTTTCAGCTAAAAAGATTTACCAATAAAATCCCATAAAATCCGATCATATTGTGCATAATATTACCAA